ATGTCTGTTGATACCCGTCCGGTGGTCACCTGGCCTACCTACCCTGTCCTTCCAGTTATCGACATGTTTGTTGATACCCGTCCAGTCACCTCGCCTCTGCCTACCCTGTCCTTCCAGCTATCGACATGTCTTTTAAGGTCGTGCAAGTTCAGTTTTACGTTTCACTGTAGGCTCTTCCTAGCAGTGTGCACGGTACATGCCGTAACCTCTCCACGGTACATGCCGCAACCTCTCCACGATACATGTCGTAACCTCTCCACGCAAAATGTATCATGTGCACACTCTTGTCTACTCTGCAGGCGTCAGGCCACGCCAGCCTGTATAAGACTGCCTTCTGCGCAACGGAAGATCTCCCGTGAAAGGTAACCAGGTTTTTTTCCGGTGAATATATCGAACCATTTTATCAAGACATTTCCGTGAAATACAGACAATTCTAAGCTTTCCACAAAGCTTCAGCTCACGTGGCCTTGAAATAGGAAGTAGTTATTCCGTAAAGGAACCTTTTCTCGGTTGAAAGTAAAAATAAATCCTTGGCATCTGAAAGGAAAATTCACGTGGCCGAAATCCGGGAAAAGTCTGGCTTGGAGGCAAGGTGTGTCATCTTTATCGACTGGCACCCCCGACGAGGCTGTCGACCTGCATTATTTTGGTTGGGCCACTACCCCTTCCCCCCCCCCCCCATGCCACCAAGTTCAATCCGCCTAAGACTTCTAATGCTTGTTTCACATGTGAAAGGAAAGAAGAACGTGCAGAATGTCATGTGATGTTTAGTGAAGTACAGCAGCGGAGCTCGTCAAACATTTAGAGCTCCGCGTTCGTGCCTAACTGCACAATGCATGCCTTAATGACTCTGGTCAAGCTTTGTGTTATGGTCTGAGTGTTTTGGCAGTTTCAAGCTCTATAGACCGCAACAAGCTGCGTTCGGTTCGGTATTCTGCAATCACAACCGCGTCAGGCGATCGGCATCTTACACTAACCACGTGGTGGGACCGCAATACTCAAGGATTTCGACCGTATTGAAAACAAGTTGGAAAATGAATGGAGTTTTCGCACTGCACATTGCATAACAATAACATGCTGAATGAAATCAATTGATATCTACAGAGCTTTAGGCCTGGATTTGAGAACAGTCATGTTCATAACATCCCAGACTGAAAATAGCTTTTATGGATGACAAACAATCCATAACATTCGTCGCTGGTACATAACCTAGAGAAACATTTTTCGAGAGAAAAAAACATAAAATATGAATACATTGTTCAAAATCGTGACACCAGAAAGTATTTCGTGGACAAAATAGAGACAAAAGAACATCGACTATACTAAATGAAAGTTTCTCCTGCCTGGATAGGGTTAAGATTCTGTATAAGTGTTCAACTGTGTGAAGATATAGAGTGAATTTAGGTAACAAAAAATAGAGCCTGAGAGAGCGAATTTAAATGACGTCAAAGAGATCGACCCCGTTTTGCCTTAGGACGTCAATCCGTTTGCTGACTTGACTTGCGAAACAAATTACTTAAAAAAGTATTTGCCCTGCGCCCTTGAAATCTTAAGAGCAAAAACACGCGTGGGCTGGGGTTCTAGCTTCATCAAACCGACCGGCGTTGGCTGCTGCAGATAACACCAGGCGGAGGGCGCCGGGCGCGCGAGAACGATCGTAGTGAAGGAATTATTTCGAGTTTTTTTTTCAAAATCAAGGCGCATCGTTCCAATATCAGACTGGGACGTAATCTTGCCTGTATAGTCTTGAGTTTGACCTCTGAACATTGAATGGTTACAGGAACACGAAAAATATCGATTTTATCTTTACTTTTCCAGTTCCCACCACATTTCAGCATCATTTCGCTGCGCTGTAAAGGCCACTCAGTTGTGATTGACAATTTACAGGTCGTACAGATGACGTATTCACCCGGTCTGCCCATCCGACTCATGAATGCCATTCGGCCAGCATGGCTCTCCAACATTATTCGTCCAACATTGTTTAACATTGTTTTATCATTGTTTTCCTTGGAGAGACATTGTTTTCCCTGGAGAGACAAAATGCCACAAGCCGGTAGACATTTTGGGTTATTGCGAAGGCATTTGCCTCCACAGGTAAATCCTAAAATACCACTTGGTCATATGCTGGTCAGAACTTTGAATGCAAGTCGATGGCCCATATTGCGCCAGAGTTTCACGCGTAAAGATTTCGTCTGCTACTTTTTGTGAAACAAGATTTGTTGCAGCATTTAAGGCGGAAGCAAATCCGAAAGTTTCAAATATTAACTGACAAAAACAATGTGACAAACTTCATAAAACTGGAGTTTCTCCCGTAAAAAACAAGCCACAGAATGAACGCCCTTCTGTCCTTACTCGGCCATATACATTCCTCACCTGAGCCCTGCTTTCGTCCGCCCTCGGCGGCTACTGACCTGGCCTGGCTGTCTCCCGCATGGCTGACTGCGAACTGATCGTATCACTGCTTAGCTACGTGTTTATGGAGCAGCATCAATACTAATTGGTGTGTAAGGCAAGCATTGGACACCTGCACCTGCATCAATTGTTTGTATTTTGAACTCACTGAACTGCAGAAATGAGGCGTTTTACGACTGCATAGAAAAAATTACCGACACTCTTCGTTTTACAGTGGTTCAGTGGACTCTTTCTAAACCGATAAAATTCAAAAGCTTTCTCAGAGTGTTTTTATGTTGGCTTTATAAACATATTAAGGGACCCGCGAAGGCAGGTTGTAGATCGAACTGAGTTAACCACGTGCATTAACATGATCAAGCCATGCCTATCTGGAAATGTTCAACATCGAGTCAGAATCGATTGGTGATACCAAAGATATAACATAGTTTTGAACACGTGCGCTTGCAAATCTTAGCAAAAAAAAAAAACTGGACGCCATGCGTCGCAGTCCCCATAGGGCGCGCAGCGTCGGTGCAGCGGTTAATACGGAGCTGTGGCCAACGGGTGGACGAAAGTGATAGCGCTTCTAAAAAGTAAAAGTCTTAATTTTCCGTGTTCCTACAGCTGTTAATCTGTGCAGAGAACAGTTAAACACGGCGCCCGCCGCCTGGTGCCGCGGGCCAACGCCGTTTGGTTTTACGGAAGCTGCACCCAGACCGTCGTTGTCCTTGTTCCCGAGATTGCGCGCGCGCGCGTTCATTTTTACACAATTTATGCCACTAATCGATTCGGCAGTGGAATGAACGCTCTCAGGAAAACATCGGATGACATTAATCGTTGTTGAACCATTTGCACCCACCGTATTCAACAATAATGAGAACCCTTATTCCTTTCCGGACAGGCGCCTCATTCAGAAAACATTTGGGGCACTTTACTGTTGCCGGTAAAGGACTGAACGGCCATTCGGGCCCCCCGCACGTTGCCTTTCAGCTGCCATTCTGGCGACACAGGGCGGGACCCCCTGGTCAACCCGAAGGTCCTAAGGATACATATCACATTGTTCCCCTTCCTGACGTGGGAGGCCCTCCGACCCGCGCAGTTGGTCCAAGGTGGCCCAACTATTGTCACATACACGCCAGTTCTTTTTCAGCGTTCTTCAGGGATTTTGAGAACCCCTGAGCGTAGATGGTGTATCGAAATGGGGTAGTAATTTTGTATTGACATCGCTAATCTATGTTTGTCTTAAAGTGTTGAACACTGAGTCAGAATCGATCGCTGAGGAAAATTATGTGACGTGATTTTGAACGTGCGCGCTACCAAATCTTACCAACAACTTCGACGCCCGGCGCTGCAGCATCCATAAACCGCGCGGCGCCGGCCCCGCGGCTGCGACAGACAGTGTGGAAACGAAAAGGGTGACGCATCTTGGGGAAGATGGCTGATAAATGAAGAAAATCGGCATGCGTGTTTAAGGTAGTACAAAAGTAAGCTGAACGTAACTTAAATCTGAAAAAGTGGGAGAGGCATTTAGCGGTGGAACAGTGGTGTGCTTATAAACAGCCGGCCCAAACTGCTAGGCTTCCATGTGTGATTGCTATGTTCATTATTAAAGATTAACGTTTTCTTTAAAAAAACATGTAATTTAATGTTGATATACATAGTGAGCAGTGCATGACATGGCTTTTCGGACATGACAAGTGGGTGATGTCCGAATAGTTTTTCCTACCTCCCCCTTTTGGCGACTTTCACCTTTTGACCCCCAATCATTTTTTTTAAATCGACACCTATGCCCCCAACCAATTTTAGAAGGTGGCACCTCTGGTGGGGATGCGGAAGGCTCCCCCTCTGCGCACCCAACTGAAGACTACTTCACCTGAGCTTGGGGACGACCCTCTCAGCTAGGAGTCTGATACCAGATACTTAGCAATACCATTGACATCTGGTCCGAATTCACAAGAGTTCAGATAGTTTTACATTGCCCCCCCCCCCCACGCGTCAATCCAAATCTGTAACCATATCTACGTAAACCAACACCTACGTGCATGGACAGTGGCCGGGATGCCCCCCCCCCCCCCCCTCTTGGATCCGCCAGCAAACCCCATCCCGTGTTATCGCCCATAGGACGCTGCCTTCCCGCATGTCTTATTTTTGAATGGGGGGAGGGGCGCAGCAACTGCATCACGAGCGCATCACGTGCGCTGCGCCGATGACTGGATGGCAACCGTAAAGGTGCGGGAATAAACTCAGGGTCACGGTTTCTGTGGTCGTTTCACTATTCTACAAAGCCTTAAAAACGCTGGAAAATTGCATACAAGGATTGGGTTGCTGCTGAACGAATAATCTTTACATTAGCACAGAAAATTGCGCGCAAATTAGTCGTATGTTCTTGCATCGGGCCAGCATATCTTGTCACCATAAGATTTCTGCGCTTTAGTGATTCTCCATATTTTTTTAACTTCGTGGGCTAAGAATTTAAAAATAGGGCTGAAAGGTACAATCCAAATATTTTTCACCAATACTTTTATTTGTTGAATTTATTTTTGAAATATTTAGTTTAAATAAAATGAGAATATGCTAAGTAAACCTAACATTCGGTAGCTGCCATCCTACGTCTTTGACTCATTCCGCCATAATGCTGTCCGCGGTCTTATTCCGGACGTTGCCGGGTCGAGCAGTATCATCCCATCTGCTTGCGCTGAGACCTTGTGCGGTGACGCGCGTTGCCACTCAGTTGTATTGCAAAATGGGTCTCCCACAGGTCTTCTTTGACATGTCTGCCGATGGCAAGCCCCTGGGCCGGATCGTCATGGAGGTGAGAGGGCATTTGCACCCTAAAAATAGACGCCGGTGCCGTGCCCACGTGGTGGCCGGCAGACATTCATAACTGCTTTTGCGGTGTGTGTTCTCAGTTGTTGGCCGGAATTGGTATTGTTACAACCTCTCATTGTTCCTATTTTTGGTTAATTGTTATGTGGTTGAAATAAATGTGGGGTTAAGCCCTTTGTTCAATTGCACAAGCTGCATCGGGGTGCGGAGGGTGTGGCTCAGCATTACTGAATGTAATTGTATGCGGCCAATGTGCAAGAAATTAGTCCATTGTGCTAAGCAAGTCTGAGTCTAAATGAGGCTGTTCTAATCTTTGCTGAATTTTTGAACTTTTTTTTTGCTTAAAAGCAGGTTTTTAACCATTTTATCTGACATAACCTCCGCATCAGAAGGCCTGTACATATTTGCTTCATATGCTCTTGTAGCCCTCGGGTTTGCAGTGTTCCTGCTCTGGTATTGTTGATGGGGTGTTTGTGCAAGGCATGTTCATTATAAAGTGTAAAAGGGAAGTGAAGTGAACTGTAAAAGTGGTGCTATAAAGTGAAAAAGGCCAAATGGGTATTCATCTGGTCCTAGGAAGGCTGATGCTTCCAGGGAAGGCATTGTTTTGCTGCTGGCCTTGAGTGGTTGGTGGACCAGCTAACTTTGATGTGTAATAAATTTAGTGGAATCAACACTGAGTCTCCCACCTGTGTTACACTAGGAAATATTTTGCTGAGGTTGAGCATCATTGTTACCTCCCATCACCTCACATAAAAGAACATTTCCTGACATGTCATTGGAAAACACTGCAAGGATATTATCAGTCAGGCTCAAGAAGCAGAAGTAGGCACAGGAGAGGGTTCAAGAATAGGTATAGGATGATGTTTAGGAGTTCATGCTAAGTTTAGTTTGGGTTGGTATTAGATTGAATTGACTTGGTTGGGTTGGATTAGGTTGGGTCTGTGCATTATTAAACCTATTTCTGTATTTACCCAGTGATGTCATGAGTGATTTTTAAGGGATAAGCTTAAATGCATGTTCACATTATCCTCATCCTAAATTACAAGAGGTGCATGGTGACTGGTGTTTGCATCTGTTGAATAGGGCAGATTACAAATGCAACAAATGATGTATTGGGAAAGGTGTTTCCTTCAGGGGGTGGGGCAGAGCTCAGTGAGAAGATAGAACACTGATTTTGAACTTGTCACATTGAGCTTTTTTGTGTTAGTTTGGGGCAAGGAGTATATATTGAAACCATGGTAAAATAAGGAGTGGCTGACTAATGTGGTGAACTTTAGCAATCTTGTATGGGCTCCTTAAATGCAAACAAGCAGGGTAGCATGCATGGACTTATATGTTGGCCAAATGCAGTTGTTCACTGGATGGAACTTGTGGTATGGGTTTTGAGCAGCAGGAAATTGTGTTATGCATGCTGTCAGAGATCAGCTAGGACTTCCTCAGAAAAAGATGATATGATGTATGAAAAACTACCCTATGTTTAATGTACAGACCTCATGTAATGGCTAAGCCAGCATGACATACCAGAATTGGCAACTGCAAATACATTTTGCACAAATAAGAGCTTAGATTCTGTTTTTTACCACCAGGTTGGTATGACATCACTGGCATTTATTAAAGGGACCTTTCCACATTTGAAGATATTGATACAAGCATCAGATGTGATTGGGAAAACTGGAAATGTTGGGATGCTTTGTGTGCAAAAGATGCTACTGAATAACAAAAAATGTGTCATCCAAAGGCAAAAGGGCTTAAGTGTTGTGCCAACTTAGGTCTACTTTGTTTTTTGATGGCAGAAATATAACTTTCATTACATCATAGTTTGTTGTCATGGAGCACATTCTTAATGTCAGAGTTCCCATCAGACTTGTGTCACCAGAGTTGTCGCTCCAGTAGATGATGTGAATCACATGTACTGCCACACTCTGTAAGGAGGGGCTGTTGAGTGTTGTATGTGAACTCAACAATCAAGTTAATGTGTTTGTGTTTTGGCATTTTCTCATGCCATGTTGTTGTATTATTCTGTAATGACATATTCCTGACTTAGATTTGCTTTGCATTTTTAAGTATGGTTAAGTTATTTGATTGCTAGGTTCATGTCCATCATATCTAGTAGCATCCCAAGTGTTTGTGTTACATGAGCAAAATGCAGTTTGTGATTGAGACATGGGGTCAGTAGTGAAATCTGGCAAAAAGAGCAAACTTGATACCAGTGTGGACAATCCCATTAGTGAACCCCAGCCTCCAGTCTCCCCACATCCTTGTCTGCTGATGTCCAGGTATTGTGGTCCAGCACACCAGTATAACCTATGGTGGTGTTTAGACAGCCAGGGTTGCTGAGCTGGTTTTGCTGTTATGTTGATTCTGGTAGCTGTGTGCTGGAAGCAGCATGGAAATCTATTTGAAAGGAGTGAAACTGTCCAAAATGGAGGAATTTTAGTCACCTTTGAACATAATGCTCAGTCATGCTAAAAAATGTGTATTGCACCATTTTTGGCAACTGGCCTGTGTTTGCATGTGGGCTAATGTGAGGTACTACTTACAGACAATATTTATGCTGAAATGCCTCAGATGAGTGGTTGGTTGGTCCAGTGCCTGGTCTAGAAGGTATCCTTAGCAATGAACTAGCTTGTCCCACAATTGACGATTTCTTTTGAAAAGTGGCGAGGTACAAATGCACCAATGTTAATACAAGCTTTCTTGTGTGCTTGAATGCGGTGTGACATTACTTGATCTGGGCTTCACCTGACTTGCACTGCGGTGTAACATATAACGTGATCATATAACATGATCCTGCTTGTCCTCGGCTCCACCTTAACCCTGCACCAGTGTAATGTGACCTCGCTTGACCTTGGCTCCGTCTGAATCCCGCTCTGATGTGGCTTGTGACGTGCCCTAGGTTGACCTTTGCTCCACCTCTCGCCGCAGCTCCGTTCAGACGTGGTGCCCAAGACGGCCGAGAACTTCCGCGCTCTCTGCACCAGCGAGAAGGGCTTCGGCTTCAAGGGCTGCTCCTTCCACAGGGTCATCCCCAACTTCATGTGTCAGGTGAGCCGACCCGCGTGCGCCGCGCGCGACGAACTCTCCTGAAAACCGGGAAGTAAACGCGGGTTTTGTGACGCTTTAATCTATATATATATATTTGAATGGAGCTATATACTTTCTCTTTCATATCTATATGATATCTATCTGTCCATATATATTATATATTTCTCTCTTTCTCCTCTCTCTCTCTCTCTCTCGCTCCTCTCTCTCTCTCTCTCTCTCTCTCTCTTCTCTGCTCTCTCTCTCCTCTCTATCTCTCTCTCTTCTCTCTCTCTCTCTCTCTCTCTCTCTCTCTCCTCTCCTCTCTCTCTCTCTCTCTCTCTCTCTCGCTCTCGCTCGCTCGCTCGCTCGCGCCGCGCACGCGCACGCACGCACGCACACGCACGCACGCACGCACGCACGCAACGCACGCACGCACGCACAGCACGCACGCACGCACGCCACGCACGCACGCACGCACGCACGCACGCACGACGGGCACACAATGATGGAGGTACTGAAAGATGTGTCCTTAGGGTGCGTGACTGTCACATAAAACCTGACAAAACAGCTCCACTAGGTAACTTCACATGTTGAAAAAGTATTATTCAAACCAAATTTGACCAAGGTTTCAAGTGCTGCTTACGGGTTTGCAGACATGATTCTGTGAGAAGAAGTCAGGGTGTCTGTCAGGATGTCTGTGACTGGGATGTCAGGTCCACTCTGGCAAAGTCAAGCATCACTAAAAATACGTGGCCTACTGGCCTGGTCTCCGAAAGTGCGAAGTGAGAAAGTGAAAGTCGTGCCCAGCAGACCACAAGGCCGTCCACGGCGACTGGCCTTGCAAACTGAAGCGGCAGTCGGCCGGCGCCCGTCGCGTTATCAGACTGTGTGGCACCGGTCAAGACGCGCTGGCGAACGCGGCTGTCTCCAGCGCCGCACGCGATGACGAGCGGCACACGCGAAGTGTGGCGGGACGCGTTTGTCTGCCCCAGCGTGGGGCCTGGGCCCGACCCGCTCCCGGCGGCGGCCGTCTGGTGCTGTGTTTGTGTTTCCGCTGGCGGGGTTCGGTATCGGTCTGGAATGCTGGTGATTCACGGCGCAGGCAGCCTCCGTGGGTGAAGGGGCGGGCGGACGTTCGGGGGGGGGGGGGGGACGGTTGTGCTGAGATGGATAGGTGCTAAGCGACCTGCGGTGTCGACCGTGCCAACTCCCCCCCCCCCCCCCCCCCCTCTGCTCTCAACGGCCGGGAGTGGGAGGAGCGCCTCCACTCCACGGTTGACGAATTTCGGAAGAGCCATGCCATGGCCCTGGGGCGGTGCTGGTGAACACGAACTCGAGCAGCGCTTCATTTCCGCGTTCTTCCGCGACTGGTCTGCTGATGCTGTGCCGGCGCGTCTCCGTCTGGAATGCCTCTCGATCTGAGCTCTGAGGGCCCAGGTAGCCGACCTCCCCCTTTCCCTCCCCTCCCCCGCGACTGGGCTGACATCCCGCCTGACGGCAGGGCGGCGACTTCACCAAACACAACGGCACCGGCGGCAAGTCTATCTACGGCAACAAGTTCGAGGACGAGAACTTCATCCTGAAGCACACCGGACCGGGCATCCTCTCCATGGCCAACGCCGGTGGGTGCGACGCGCGGACGCGGGTGCGGACGCGGACGCGGACGTTGCGTCAGACGCGGTGCGCGGCTGGCCGGCGCCGGCCTGAGAGCCGCGATGTGACGTGTTCGCGTCCTCGTGCGGGCTGGTCGGGCCGCCAGCGCGCTGGGCTGCGGGGCTGTTGTGGGGCGAACTGCGTGGCGTCTGGGCGATGGTGGTGCACGAC